TTAGGCGATGCCAGAGTTCTAAGCAACCAATGAGCAAGTAGAAGGTAAAAAGCCATACCAGCAAACTCTTGACGTGATGAGCAATATCAAGGTGGTAGACAATTCCATACTGGTAAATGAAGAAGCGAAATGCAAGAATTATCTCAAGCACCCTTCCTCTTATATTTGTGTGTTTGAGATGTTCTTGTTCTCCTTCCCACCATGATTCCCAACTTTTGTCCAATGGGATCCCAATACCACCTCGATTTCCCATCCACCTTTTCCAATCTGTCCAATCATCTACCGTTTTCTGCCACTCAAAACCAGATGGGTTGAATATAAAAGGTGCAAACAACCAGGACCCAACCAGAAACCACATAGAGAAAGTAATGAAAAAATAAAGATTGAACTGCGATATGATTCTCCATAAACTTCATATAAGACCAACAGTATCAATAACTCCAGCCCCTTCACAAAGTGACTTCTTGAGTACAGCCTGTAATTTTCAGCAAATTTTGCATGGAAAACACCAAATCCACGGCCAGTAGCTCGATATTTGGAACCCCCATGCAAAATCGTTCTCCCATAATAATGTGCTTTTGTTCCAAGCTGGAATGTAAAGAAAACAGAAGCCAGCTGCAGCTGCATAATTATAAAATCACCAAGAGCAGTTCGGAATCCTTTCTCCAGGCCAATTTCCATAACCATAGGCAGAACCATCAAGAAGCCAAGCTGAAAAACTGACTGGGTAGCCAAAGCCTCTTCAAGTGCCTTGCTCTGATTTATGCTTGGATTCTGAAGAATCTCCCTTTCCAATCCACTCATAACCATGTACAAACGTCCATACAAGAACACATACACAGTAAGCACAGTGACCTGAATACAACAATGTTGAAACAAACAACCTGTAACTACTCATTTTACAAAGCTCAAGCAGAATTCCAACAAGCAGACAAATGAAAGCACTGTCAACTGAAAATTGCCTTGCAACAAATTGGCTATGTTCAATCAATTAAGCAAATGACTTTCACAAATTATAAAACATTTGGTGACCTCCCAAGTAATTTTCCAAGATGTGAAGGATGATGTACTATCATTTTCTTCACATGTCTCATTACAGTGACATATTATACAGTATACAATCATAG